CGCGTAGAGTGGATTTTTCTTTAACGGGATTGGATATTTTTTTTCGGTTTCCATCGTGCGTTTTTCAAAAATATTTCTGAATGTGTTCGTGGCTGTCAGATCGTGTGGCGCAATTGCCTTTTTTGGCTTTTATTCTCGAAATTGGGCTTTTGGATTCTCTTTGTTCAATATAACAGCGTAGAGTAGATTCCAGGCAATATTTTATTGTGATAAACATGCTGGTGGAACAGTAGAAAAATATTGTACTCATCATAATATGTTTCCAGCGAATGGCCATTAAATGCCAAGATTTACATTTTGTAGGGAGTTAAAATTGAAGCTGCCATACAGTTATATATGTTGTGATTTGTCTATTGGATTCTAGGTCGGCGAACCATGTGGCATACAAGATAAAAATTTTTGATGGTCAAATAAAGATTCAGAAAATGGAGATGGCTTGGGCAGACAGAAAGGAATAAAATTAATTTAGATGATGGCCTCTTTTAACAACTATATATAGAGAATACAGCGGGATTGGAAGGTATGTTGTATTTCTGATGTAAATAAGTATTAATATCTGTGGTCAAAGTCAATTGACATCGCCAATGTGTTAAATTACAGAATGGAGCTGATGTATGTAAAGAAAAGGGATAAAGTCAAATGAAGAGGAAATGCATATTGTGTCGAATCAAGAAACATGAAAGAGGTAGCATATGTATCAACAGAGAAGGATGTTTAAAATAGTTATGTGCTAAACTATCGATGTAGAATATCAAACGATGTTGTTTATGTTTATTAATGACAATGGAGCAAATACAAATATGTTTCTGTTACGAAAATGACGAGTTAAGTAATACTTAATTTCCACTACAAAAACGTTGCAAATTAATAAAATTAATAATAAAAATATAATATATAGTAATATATATTATATATTAATTACAAAATTTGGTACATAAGTATTATGACCTCCTTTATTGAACATACTTTCAAAAAATTCGATAAATGCACGATGAAAAGCATATGGAAGCATTTTTAGATGTACAATACATATTTATAAGTTATGTAAATTCATAAAATGTGTTGGAAACGCAAATTTTATCTTATTTTAGGGTGGGTTACGGGTATGAGTTATAGATGAGACCTTTTGTTAGTCAATCGTAACTACTGTTCATTTTCCTTCTAAGAAGATTTGTTTGTACGTTGGTAGTTAGTAGTTAAAATAATTATTATAAGGTAGTAAATGACATTTTTATATGAACAAATAATTGTACATGTGTAAATTACTACAAATATTATTATTACAAATTATACAAAGTATATATTTACAATAAACTATATAATAACAATTATAAAGGGTTCGAGAATTTTTAGAAAATCGGTTGATCTCGCGAATTTCTGTTTGACCTCGGTAAGGTTACCTTCGTTTTATATAGGCACCCGACAGTCACAGTACGTGTCAATTGCTCCTCGGTCATCAACGCGTAAACATCGAAACTTGAAACAGCTAAATAAAGTTATTTATTTAATTAATTTATTTATTATTCACTTTTAACTATTTATTTAATTTATTTAATTTAATTATTTATTTTCGACCTTTAATAATTTATTTGATTCATTTCTCATTTTTAATAATTTATTTAATTAATTAATTTATTATTCACTTTTAGTTATTTATTCAATTTGTTTAATTCCATTATTTATTTTTATCTTTTGACAATTTTATTTAATTTTATTATTTATTTTTAATATTTAATAATTTATTTTATTTAATTGTTTACTTTTAACTTTTAATAATTTACATTATTTAATTAAAATTATTCATTTAATTACTTCATTCTATTTTTATTTCTGATTATTTCTCTAATACTTGAATAAATATTTTCCATTTTATTTTTCTAATTTCATTGGTGTTAGTTGACATTAAATATTTTTACAATTGTTAAATTATTACTATACTTCTACTAATTCGTATACGTTCGAACGATTTTACACGCTATTCTTTTTACTCAATGCCGGTCGAGGAAGTTCGGATGTGCCGCGACATTGCGAGTGTATTGTGAAAGTGCTCCAAGAAAAGAAGAAGGAATTTCGACCAATGTTGACATCGTTATACCGACGACGTGACAAGGGATGAATACAGTGGCGCTGGTGCCAGAACGAAGGCGACAGTCTATCCACAGCTGTTGTGATACGAAGAAGAGGGCAACGTTCGGTGAGTCGCATGTTTATGATTCCTCTGGTTGCCCATCATGTCATAGGACGAATGGTCCGAAACGACACGGGTGAGTAGTTGTATTTTATTATTTCTGTAACGAGCGTACTGACCACGAGTGTTAATGTACTAATATACAATAGCACTCGTGCAATATATATTTCTATGATATATTTATCGGATCAGGCTAGGGCTTTCTTGTACATCGCGTATTAGAATCTTGGTTGAAAACATTTTTAATTTCCCTTTCAATCTCGATTGAAAACATTTTTAATCTTCCTTTCAATCTCGGTTGAAAACATTTGAAAATTTGAAGACATTGAAAACATTTTTAATTTCCCATTTGCTCCCTACTTTATATCATTATAATTTGCAAGAATTTTTTATTTTTACACAGTTGTGCAATATTACTGTGCATACTGTGCACATTGTATTCGAGAGTTCGTCGAAATCCTTTGAAATTTGATATATCACGATCGAAAATTAAAATTTTATCGCGTTTTGGCGTAAAATTGAAAACACCAAAGTGAAGAGAAATATAATATCCTATGTTGCTGCTTGCGTGCTTTTTTCCACTATTCTTGCGACTTTCAAAGCGCCATATGTAGCAGCACATGTCCCGTTTTTAAAAAATTATTTTTATCTCATTGCATAATAATCTGTTTTTATTTTTGTGTTATTATTAATTGCTCTTCTTTTGCTGCAGGTGTTAGGCACCCATTTGAAATTTACTTTGTAATTTATTTTCTAATTTATTTTATATTTGATTTTCTGTATATTTAATATTATACTCTGTATTGCTTTTTTTATGCATTTTGGAATTCATTTTGTAATTTATTTTGCGATGTAATTTATGGGATATTTAGTACTATCTTATGTACCATCCATTTTATTTTATTTTTATAATCTAGGCACGGGTCTCGATTGCGTAGCCACCTCCACGTGGTGAGACCTGGTAATTGGCATCGTTTGCCAAAGATGTATTTCCATATTCGTTTCAATAAATTTTATATACTACTTTTTGGAATTTTCGATAAGTTCATCTTTGCCAAACGATGCTAAGCTAAGAGCTACGCAGTACTCGCAGTACAATCTAGCCTCTGAAAGGCCACCTTCTGGTACCGTGGAAACTAGATTGGAATTGCGAGTACTACTTTATTTGTCCCTCCCCGCATAGATCACCGTGCAACATCGTTGGTCATCTGTGGACATATGGGTCATGACTGGACAATGTTGAACATCATGGAATGCGTGTGTTTTAGGTTCAGTTTGTTCTAGACTAATTTCCCCTAAGTCCCTTGTTCGTGGTTTTCACTGCTAACATACCGTGTTTCATTTGGAACAAAAACTACTCACATTTCCTTTTAATTCCCCTTCTCGATCGTTTTGCAAAACAAGCGATTATCCGTTCACAATCGCTTCATTTCCTTCGAATCGATGTGCGTCCGTACTTGCTCGCGTACTAACACACGGTACGCGACTGTCGAGCACTCGGTAATCTCATGTTTCGAAAGTCACACTTCCAAGTTGGTTTGTTTTCAATGTGTTTTTAGCTTCATATTTGTCCTTTCGTTCCAAGTGAGAAATACGTTTGTTTCTTACAGGATGTTGCCAATATGGTCGCCTTTGTTGTTTAGTAATTTACTTTGTATTTTATTATGTAATAATTTCGTAATGTATTCTGTATTCCTTTTTGCAATTTATTTTGATATTCATTTCGTAATGTATTTTATAATTTTGTAATATATTTTAATAAACAAAATCAGAATGCGGTTAAAAAAGAATAGAGTAGATTCGGCAGTGAAAAATTACCACATTTCTATAATTAATTCATGAACTTTTATAGTTGCATTGCAAAGCTGGAACTACAGGCAACATTCTTATGCAATTTTCGAAAACATTTGTATACTAATTAGCTTGTTATTAATAATTATTTGAAGGCGCGCGTAATTTGGTAAGAGCGACTGTCATGATTTTTCGTTAAAATATTTAATAGTGATGAAAACTATAAGTAAAATATGAACAAAAATTATATGTGAAAATAATCGCATTGCTTTCTATAAAATTCATAATTTACAACATAATTTGATACAAAAAATGATTATATTGCTTATGTTATAATGTTCAAATTAAAGAATATTAAAAGTTATTAATTGAAATAAATAATTTACAATTTTAAATATTATGGAAAATATAGATTTATTTAAAATATAATAATTAAAAAGACATTCTACTGTTGAAATTCAGAAAAATATGTTTATAATAATAACAAATTACTTAATGTTTAAATAATGTCAATTATAACATACATGTTAAATAATGTTGAAATTCGTGTTGTATAAATGTAAAATACAAAAAAATACGAAAACAATCTTGTTGGTAATTTCATCCTATTGATAATTTTATCCGATTTTCTACTACATAATGTAAAAAGGTTAATATGTATATCCATAATATCAATTTTACAAATTTCTAAATTAATAAAAATTTCTTGCACGAGTGATAATACAAATTACTTTGTCGATACTATTCAGATTTCAATGATGAGTAGGAATTTATTTAACTGTCTTACTTATTTCTTCTTACTTTTTAACGATCGCCTAAAAACTTAGAAATTAATTTTATAAGTTGTTTAAATTATGTTTACAATCGAATATATTACAATCAATACTATGAAGTGAGCAATGAATTTAAGGGGTTCTCATATTTAAGATCAACCGTACTTAGAATTCAGAACCCCTGGTATATCATAAACAACGAAGATGGCTTACGGTCGACATTCTGTTAGTTCTATTAACATGTTGTTTGTTACTGTTTACGAAATTTTTGATTTTGCTCAATGAAGAGTTAAGAATTGTATAAAATTATGGCTCAAGCGAAACTTAATTCACAAGAAGAAACAAGTAGTACACTCAACGATAAAGAGAAAGATGCTGAAGAGAAGGAAGGTATGCATTACAAGTAATTTCGAAAGTATTGTAAATAATTATCGTTTCTGTTATTATGTATAACCTATCACTAATTAACTTTGCAACGATTCAACGTTTTGCAATGACATTTAAGATATTTTATTTAATTTGACATAATCATGTTTTTTTTATACACAATTAAGAAAATCTCATATTATTTAAAGTATATTAAAAACTTACAAATGAACAAATTTATTTTACTTATGTAAATTTTGTCAGGCTCAACGACAGTATTAGAGTGTGCAGTCTGTCTTCAACCATGTATATATCCTGCAAGATTACCTTGCAATCATATATATTGTTACCTATGCGTCAAAGGTGTTGCAAATCAAAGCAAAAGGTGCCCTATGTGTCGTCAAGAGATTCCTCCTGATTTTCTTAATAGACCGCAGTTGGTGGAAGTAGACGAAACGCAAAAAGAATCAGAACATTTTGAAGAAGAATATCAATGGTTTTATGAAGGCAGAAATGGTAGAGTATCTTTCATTATATATACATCTATTTTACTTTTTAATTATAGGATGCTTTTTAAATAGAATTTGTTATATATAAATATAAGTACAAATAAATATGTTTATTATAAATAGTATCTATAAAAATATGTAAAAACAGAAGTTACAGAAGCAAATTATTAAAATAAAGTAGTATGTTATAAACTATGAACAAACATAATTTTAATATATTAAAGATTAAAAGTAAATAACTTCATTATTTGTTAAAAACATGTGATGAGGTATAGAGAAGTTTATGTCCTACCCCTTCATAGGTTGGTGGAAATATGATTCAAGGACCAGCCAGGATTTGGAGGCTATTTACAACCTAGGTAGCGCCCAATGTGAAATTTTAATTTGCGGCATACTTTATGTAGTTGACTTTAAAAATAATTGTCAGTACAGAAAACATCAACCATATTATAAACGTAATATTAAGCGTGATAGAAAAGATGCACCTTGTAAAGGTGTCTCAGGAATAAAATGACTCATAATTTTATCTTTTATACCTTTTTAAATATAATTGGCATACAGTGTTTTTGATTGTATTTATACATTATATAACCATTTATGAAACTATGTATAGTATTATGCAAAACATTATAAATTTTCATGTAAAATATTGTATGACATAAAAAGCATAAGAGTTTCTATTATTTTGTTACAAAAAGATTACAATTTAGTTTGAATGTATATTTGTAATAAAACTTCTGCATTCCAGAATATAAGTTATTTTTCTTTGTGAATACCCTAGTTAAAAGTCCATTTAGCAATTTTTTGTATAATTTTTGCTAACCTTTTTATACCATTGATGACATAACTTGTGTAATTTTAAATTACATTGTTGCAGGTTGGTGGCAATATGATCAACGTACAAGTCATGAATTAGAAACTGCATATAAGCAAGGCAAACGGAATTGTGAATTGTTAATCGCAGGATTTCTTTATATTGCTGATTTTGGTTCAATGCTTCAATTACGTAGAAATGATCCTTCTAGGCGAAGAAAAATTAAACGTGATTTGTATAATGTACCAAAAAAGGGAGTTGCAGGTTTAAGATTGAATAATCAAGACGAGGAAATCACTAGAGAAGTAAGGGGTGCAGAAAGACCAGCTAGCCCTGCAAGTGATGATATGGGTATAATTATTACTAAAACTAATTGTCTGTTGAAGTTTCAATGCTACTTGTAATAACTTTGCAATATTTGTTGGCATTGTGTGTATGAATAATATAATTTTATGTTCAAAGGCACAGGAGATGGTACAAATACTCCAGTACCTCCAAGTAATACACCACAAACACCAGCTGGTGGAACAGCAAGTGGTGATGCTACACCTCTAAATGACAGAATGGAACAAAGAGACTCTTTACATCAGGTATTAGAACAAATGCGTTCCTTAGTTCTGAGAGAACATTTATCTTCAGATACAGATGATGAATTAGAGGAAGATGAAGAAAGTGAATCACCTTCCACTCATCCTACATTATAATGACTACAAACATCTAACAATTCCTATTCATCAGATGAAGATCATTTTTAAAAAGTTTAATTTATTAAAATAAATGTGGCATCCCATTAAGTGAAAAGTATAATATAATAAACTCGTGTACATGTTCAAAACTACAGAACATTTATATATGTGATGTACTGACATGCAATCTGTACATTACTCTGTGATGCTTATTAAAAATGAAACAATTAAGTACAATTAAGTCTTTCACAACTAAATGTTCAGTGAATGATTATTTTAAATATTCTTTTGCATATTACGAATGTTCAAGCTTTATAAATATGTATATTTGTAATTTTACACTTTTTACCATCTCCTTAAGAAATGTTCTCCAGAAAAAGAAATATCATTCCATACTCCTGTACTTTAAATAACGATTCTACTTAATGCATAACTTATGTAATTTTCGTGATTATTGTAGATTATTATGAAACTCATAACTTTATGTTATTGAGAGTAATTAAGAACTTCTTAAATTTTGTTTATTTCTTAAAAGAAAACATATTGTCTTTGCACATAAAATGTACTATATTTAAAAATTTAGCAATATTTCTTTGCTTATTCGTTCAACATAACTAGCGCACTGCCGTTTTTTCGCATTTGTTATCAGTATTTCTTATATCAAGGCCTTTCAAATCGATATATATCGAAAAATAACATGATTTTCGTTCATCGACTTGTTGATAATATTGTTGAAAATAAACTCGGTATTTATTGAAAAGTCATAGCGTTTCTCGTATTTTATAATTTTACTATTGTGATAATAATTTTATTGATCATAGAGATAAAAAATTACTTTTTACCAAATTGTTTTTACAATGCTATTATTTGAAAATTTAATGTGGAAAGAGATTATAAGTAACAAAATAATTACGTAAATTTTTATCTGAATATTTTTATAAATTTCATGAATATTCAGAATTAAAAATATAGAAAGAACAGCTAACAAAAACAAGAAAAAAAAAGAATAACAATATAGTAATAAAATATAATCGTAGGTATATCATAAAAGTCTCCGATTTTCTGGTATGAATGAAAAGCGAATCTGCGTCAGACATATTTTTGTGTCATTATTCTATTACTTTTTTTACTGCATATGCGGAATTTATTAACTGCTTATACATAATGCCTTCGAAAATATCACTATATATTTTTTTAAGTAAAATAAACCGAAATTATCGTTTTAAGATAATACATTTTAAAATAAATCATTCCGCTATGCATTAAATTTCATCTAACATCAAATTTGTCTTCCAACATATACGTAAATTAGTAACTATTTTATCACTTAGCATGAAATTTCACTTAAACTTATTATTTTTTTAATGTTAAAATTTTAAAAAGAAAATAGAGAATAATTAAAAACATTTTCATTTTCCATTCTTGCAATAATTCGACAATCAGAAACTTATCATAACTTTGAAGTTGTAAAGCGTAACGAGTGATTCAAGAGTTTGCTTCCTTTTTTATTTAAAATTGATAGAATAATTGGCGCTTCGTTGTAATTTAGATTAAAAAAAGCATAGAGATGACATAGTACAAGTGTACCTTTTCCGAAACTGTGATACTTTAACTCTGTTTCACTCGTTCTTTCTTAACAAATAAAAAATTGATTGAAGTTTTTAATTGCTTTTCTCTGTTGTAATGTCACATCAACACCTAGCGGGCTCGCGTCGCAGTGCAACTCAGTCTCATCACAGGAGGAATAGATTGCCAAAACTACTGAATCGACTAATATAATCTCACGTACGTGTATTTCAGCATGTTCAAATATAAATAGCGTTTTCTTCTTAAGTAAATTATACCGATACTTTGCGATAACAAAAAATTGTTTTACAAATCTTAAAAGATAAGGATAAGATTTGTATTTCTTGATATTAGAGTTTTCTTTATTATTTCTATATTATAGCTAATTTTAAGAATTTAATTTATTGCTAGCTTATTAAGTATCTCATCTTGAATAAAAAAAAATAACTCTTTAGTGATTTTTTAGTATCAATTAATTACTACATAATATTAATTATGTCGATATTTACATAATATAATTTGTTCTGTAATTATTAGAATTGCTTTGAATAAACATTAATTTGTTTCAAAATTGCTAAAAAGATCTTAAACATTTGGTTAAAACATAAGAGAATTTTTCTTGTTTAATATAATTACAAATACCAATAAGTAATGGAAATTGATTAATATTTAAAGAAAATTTATTAATATTTAAAGAAAATTTATTAATATTTAAAGTTTAGTTCTTAATGGAGTGTACACTATAAATAAGTATAAAGAGAATTGAATATGTACTTGAAATGTTGTAATAATTGTTAATAATTAAAAATATATGCTTTTATTATATAATTGACATATTTATTTTTATTAACGCAAGAATTATAATAGATAACATTTTAGAAAATGAAAAATTTATTTTCTGATAACAGTGAATGTTTTATCGTATTATAATATTTTATTTAAAGATGTAAAAATTAAAATACTACTTGAATTACTATTTTCCATAAAATTATTTTTTGTCATAACATAAACATATAACAAAATATAGTTAATTAGTAAATTATTTTTAATCAAGTTTAGTTAGTATCATTAAAAAATAAATAAAAATATTTATATAGATTTAAATAAAATTTTAATAGGATAATTTTTAGTTGTCGAATATAATATTACTATTGTATAAGAATATAATATAACTATACGTACTATATATTATCAAATTATATTGAATATGCTTAAAAAGATATTTAATTAAAATTCATTAATATCTTCCTTTGCTAATATTAAATAGAATGTATTTTTTATGACATATAAATTAAATTTCCGCGCCACTCAATCATGTCAAAATTATGATCAAAGTGACTTCCATGTGAGTGATAAAAAGCCGGTCAACCGTCAGATTCTGATGTTATTTACGAAAGAGAATTCTTATGATAGATCTACTAGTTTATTAACATCTAATGAAATGGATTAGAAGAAATGTATTTGATACCTGTTTCATAAGGTTTGTATTACTTCTAGTTGCAATGTTGACATACATTTTTTTATACGCAGTATCATATGAAGAATATCGGTTTTAGGTATGTATGTATGTACGTTTGCATCTAATAAATGTAGCGTATATATTTAATTTTATAAATAAATCAAACAATAACATTTATTAAACAAATTTTCACGAAAATTTTTATTGCAAATACGTTACACTATATTCATATGAGCAAATTGTAAAATAACTTTTATTAATAAAGTATGAAAGAGTTACGTGATATCTTGCGATGTAGTATAATAAAAATAAAACAATTTGTTTATATCGACAATTATTAAAATAATATATGTAATAAATCGTATAATAAAAAAAAGAAGGTATAAAGATAGAAAGAATCGTAATCGTATGATCTTCCGGTCGCATTATTTGATAAATCACGGTTAAGGTGGCCCAGTTTTAGTTAACGGTTAGGGTTGAATAAAAATACTTTCGCCGTATCTAATAGAAGCTTGGTATTTCAGATTACAAGTTCATCTATGTAGTCAAATAAAAATTAGTGCATCATTTAAGAAGATATACATTATATAACACAATGAGTATACAACAAAGCACAGAGCTGATTATTTTTGTGACCCATGTCGAAGCAGAGGATTCATTCCTGAAAATCTGGGGTCAAGTTGATAAAAATTCTGCAACATGTGTAGAACGCATGATTTTACCACTGGTTGAACAATTTGCCAGAAGTCAAGGTTGTGTTGGACCTCAATCAACCAATTTACACATAAATTCTCTTTGCTGTGCTAGATTTCAAAATGAAGGATATTATCGAGCAAAAGTAATTAATATACGTGCTGATGGTATGGTAGTTTTACAATTCATTGACTATGGTAATATTGAAGTGTTACCGCCTCAAGAAATACATTTACTTGAGAATATACCTGGTTCGGAATCTTTGCAATCGTTTCCACCAGTGGCATTTGATTTTACATTAATGCATGTATTACCTGTAAATGGGGCTTGGGAAAATAAAATAATTGAATCGATTAAAAAGACTTTATGGTATAATGAATATAAAATCTTAATTCATACTGTGGGTAATAATCATCGTTTTATTAAACTTTGGTATAATAACGAAGACTTCAGTGAATTGTTGATTAAAAAACATATGGCGATTAGAGCAACATTACAAGAAATGTTTAGGTACTTATTTTATTATATTTTAATATTTACAAATATTTTATTCAGCCTACAAATTTACAAATTTTATTATTTTTGTAGTTATTATTCATAATCTTATGGCTATAAGTTTAATGTATTACGTTACTTATAAAATATATTAAAAGTACTGATCAATATTTTCATAATTACATAATGTATTTATTAATGTAGTAAATCAAGTTTGTCAGTGTAATCTTAAAGTAATAATAATAATAAAAATAAAAAGTAAATGTATTTACTTTTTATTTATTTTAACAGAATATTATAATTATAATTTTTATTAAAACTCTTATACATCTTTATAGGCCAAAGTGTGTACAACAATCCCAAGTATTAATGTACCAACAACCAAGCAAACGTGTTATTGGTAATTGTACTACAATGACATCAATGTCAAATACAAATCCACTACATTGTGATGGAAATGAAGTACATGGATTTCAACAAAGTGTTCCTTTATGTTGTGCTGTTCAACAAAAACACATGATGCAAACTTCTGTTCAAGAAGCTCTGGTGTTTAAATCTCGTGTTTTGGATGTACCATCAAAACATGATGTATATGTTTCATTTGTAGAAGATGGTCCACATAAGTTTTCTGTACAACTTCGAAGTACTTCTCAAATATTGAGTACACTCATGAGAGATATTAATAGTCATCCTATAGAACCATTACAGGAACCTCCTTTACCTGGATCAGTGTGTCTAGGTCGTTACACACAAGATAAAGTTTTATGTAGAGCTGTTGTAATGTCTGTTATGGAAAATAAGTGTAAACTTTATTATGTGGATTTTGGGCATACAGAAGTTTTACCATATACAGATATTTTCCAATTACCACCACATTTCATTAATCCTAGAGTACTTTCTATTAGATTTACACTAAGTGGAGTACATGAATTAAATGTTACAAATAAAATGAAAGAATATTTTAAACAAATAGTATCAGGAAAACTATTGGTTTTACATGTTCGTCCTCCAGAAGGACCACCTTTAGTACAATATGGAGATTTATATGATGATGGAAAAAATATAAAAGACATTCTTAGACAAGCATTTCCAACTCCAGTTGTAGTGACATCTATAAATTCATCTTTTACATACCAAGAACCAAAAAATTTACCAAAAGGTGTAGAAGAAATTGTACATGTTTCATTTGTAGAATCTTGTAGAAAATTTTTCGTACAATTGGAAAGTAATATTAAGTCTCTTGAATTAATAATGAATAATTTAGCAGACTTTTGTAAAACTGCACCAACTTTAAGCCTAACTCAGATGAAGATTGGTCTTCCTTGTGCTGCTTTATATGATAATCAGTGGTTAGTTGCATATATAATAATTTGTATTAATGTATATACTTCATATATTGTACATGTTACTTATATAATTATTAGGTATAGAGCACAGATCCTGAGTATAAATGGAGATAATATAAAAGTTTTATATGTTGATTATGGTAACGAAGAAACTGTATCTTTAATGTCTCTTCGATTGATTCATGATGACTTGGTTAAAAAATTACAAGCTCAAGCTATACAATGTACTTTAAATGGTTGGGAACTGTTGCCATGTACACAAGAAGTTCATAATCAGTTTGAGTTATTGATTTTAGAGAAACGTTTACGTATAAGAGTTTTAGACATAAACTTAGATGGCACAGTGGTAGATTTATATGAACCAGATCAAAATGAGAATATTAAATCTCAGATGTTGCATATAATTGGAAGTGAAAAAAAAATAATAAGTGAGCCATTAAATTATCAAGATGTGGAGAGTCAACATTCTCGTAAAATGATTTCAAAAATTAATGAAAGGTATCCAATTCTTTTATATATAATAATATATATATATATTTACATAACAACTTTACTTTAAAAAACTTATTATTTTTATAAACATATTTTAAATAAATTAAGCTATGATTTACTGCATCACAGGTCTTATGTAAAACTACAAATGAATTCGATTCAACAATGGAAAAACAAAATAAATATAGAAGCCACATGGTAAAATGTTTAATAGAAAAATTAAGCTTTTCAATCTTTTAAATATTAAAATAATTATTTTGAAAGAAAATAATATAGTTTTATACTATTTTTTAAGTTTAATTATTTATTTAAATTTTTGATTATTTAATTTGCCAAAATGCAGTTTTGTTTACAAAGCTTTAATATCTAATTTCTTATGAATAAATTCCTTAACCATATATTATTATGCAAATTTTATTCTATCCATATGTTATTATGCAAATTAGTTTAGTATATATTTAGATTCAAGGAATTCAATCTTATTATTTTTTATTATATAAAGTTTATCATACTAAAACTGTTCATAATGTTTATTTATTAAGAAATTAATAATGTTATTATTATTTATGATTACTAACTGTAATTCGAATAACAATATTAGTGTATTTATATATATTATTTTTATTTTATGCGAAAAGAATAACAGTAGTTGATCAGTTGTACTTAAAGTTGTAGGAAAAATATTCATTTATTTTTAACATTTTATTATTTTCCATTTTTAAAATTATATTTATGTTTTAGTGAGAATACAAATAAGTGGCATAATAAAAATCAACCAGACTCATGGCACCGGACACAGAATAGTAATATTATGCAAGAAAGAAATAAGTTTAAAGCTTGGAAAGATGAATCAAATGAAGGAAAAATACACGAAAATAGGAGTGAAAAAACTAATTTTCATCGTAATGATTCACGAAGTGAAAGATATAATAGAGATGACTTTTCCAACAATAGGAGCACAAAGGATAAATGGAATAATAGACACGAATATAATGATTCATTTAAAAGTGGAAAGGGTACTAGAGGTGGTAGAAGTAGAACATCAGGGTATACATTTAAAAGTCACCCTTCTGATAAAAGTTGGAGTGATAAAGATTCAGATACATCATCTAGAGGTAGTAACAAACGTGGGAGAGGTAGTGCTACTCGTGGTGGTTATTCCAGACGGGAAGGAATTTCTGGAAGAATGCAAAGTAACAAATTTAATGATAAAAATAGTAATGGCAGTTTTAAAAGTGGAAGAATGAATAGTAAGTTATTCTAGAATAGTGCTAAAATAAAATTTGTTACATGAAAAATATTTTGTTTATATTTGTGTTTGACATATTTTAAAAATATGTTAATTATTAATAGGTGACCCTTATCGTGGTAGTAACAGATTTAAAGAAAGAAAAGAACAAGGATATAGACTTACACAAAATAAGGTAAAGTATATCATCTTATTCTCATATTTGTACTTTAATTCTCAATTTATAATTGTTAAATTATTTTTCATTTTAGTTAAACGTCATTAATTATACTTCTGATGGAGAAGAACGAAAATATAATTCTATAAAAAATAAAAGTGAATTTCATATGCCACCTCCGAACATAACTATTGGAACTACAAAAACTTGTGAAGTAGTTTTTACAAATAATATCTGTGACTTTTTTGTACAGTTAAGTTCTGATTATACTGCCTTAGATTCTGTAATGGAAAACATTGCATCAATATATGAGAATGGGGGAGAGTTAGTAAAAGAATCTGATGTATTATGTGGACTATACTGCATTGCTCAATATTCAGAAGACCTTAAATGGTATAGAGCCATAATCAAATCTATTGAAAAAAACAGCGCAACCGTACAATTTGTAGATTATGGAAATACGGAAACAGTTAATTTTGATAAAATTAAATCTATACAACAAGAATTTTTGAAACTTCCTATACAAGCTGTACATTGTAAACTATTTGGTGTAAAAGATGAGAATTCTGATAAAGATAAAATAAAAGAGTTTGAAAATGCAGTTACTGGTAAACCATTAGAAGCAGAATTTATAAGTGAAGAAAATGGTATATACAGCGTCTTATTAAAAGATTTTAATAATTGTCCAATAAACACTTTTATAAATCAAGAATTTTGTGAAGATATCGATTTATTAAAAGCTAAAGAAGATATAATGTCTAACAGGATAATTATTGGTAATATGAAACAATTTAGTGAACCTGATTATGTATCTTTAGATACTAGATGGACTACTGTTCTATATGCATCTGAAATTAAAAAAGATGTGATTGTCACATGGTTTACTAATCCCAATAATTTTTATTGTCAAATACTTGATAATGAAAATGAATTTAGAACTATGATGAATGAAATTCAAAAGATTTATGTTGGCAGAGAACCAGTTTCACACATATTACAGGTAACAGTCAGATTTAAATGATTATAGATAAGTTTCTTTACATCAAATAACATGTTATACTTTTAGGTTGGATCTCCTGTAATAGCAATATTCTCTGATGATGGAGCTCTTTATCGTGCAGAAATTATTGAATTAAATAAATTAAATGGTCATCTTATTCAATATATAGATTTTGGAAACAGTGCTATAGTTGATCCCCAAAAAATTTATCCAGTAGAAAAGAAATTAATATGCCTTCCTAAACAAGCTGTTCAGTGTTCTTTGTTAAATATTGTTCCATTGGATGGTTTTAGTTGGTCTCAAACAAATACGGAAGTAATTGATAATTGTTTTAATGCTGACAGCTATAAGTGTATTTTTCATGATGTGAAAGATGATAAATATTTAATATCGTTAATTAATAATGAAAACAATGTGGCTAATATGTTAGTTGAACAAAATCTTGCATCATTCAATTCAGAAACTAAATCAAGTTCTACTGTTGAAGGTAACATAAATTTTTATAATTTTAAATAGTTTTAAATATTCTTTTTCTATAAAGTAATACTAAATAAATTTCTTTGTAAAAGTAGATAAAAAAGATTCAATAAATTTTATCTTTTGTAATATAATTTTAAAAATACAGTATAATTATATCACTTCATTTTATAAATCAGGCTTTTTATAATTTTATGTTCGAATATAATTACCAGAACTAAAAAAATTATACATAGAGTAAGTAACTTGATGTAGTATTTAATTTGTGTTAGTAATCAAAATGTTGATTATAAATGTAAAAGACTTACTAAAAATATAATTGTTATTTAATTTGTTTCCTTTATAAATTTTTTTAATTATGCTTAGGAAAAAAAATATAGAAAATGTTGATTTCTAAAAGTACATTGTATTAAATAATTAAGTAATTATGTTTTGTCAATAAAAATATAATATAAATATAAAGAAATTATTCAAGATAATATAATTAATTTCAATTATCAAGAAACGTGTAATAAATATAATAAATTTGATTTTACTTTCAGGCAGTAACATCACAACATCACCAATTACATGTGATATAGAACGAGTGGACATAAATCTTTTACATGGTCAGGCACTTAGAGTAAAAGTTTCAAGTGTTGAAAATACAACAAAATTCTATATTCAACTTCCTTCAGCTACTGAATGTGAAAATATAATTAATATGTACATGGCTGACAAAAAACCTGAGGTATGTTTTACACAGATTATATTTAATTATGTTATTAAATAGAAATATATTCATATTATTCATGAGTATACTTGCAGTATAATATAATAGCTACATAGGCTTAATTTTATATTTGATGCATGAAAGTTAATGATATATAAAAATTTCTGCTTTATAAATTATATGATTTAAAATTAATAAAAACAAATGAAATAGTTATTGTTTGTTAATGAGCAATATCATTTTTAAATACAATTTGTAAGATATTAAATATTACAATTTAAAAAACATTTTTTTCTGAATATTACCATTTTAAAATTAATATAATATGATTATAGCATTAAAATATAAATTCTATATATTTTGTTTTATATATTATAGAATATGTTAGTATTGATATGATTACTGTTATTAATTTATCTCATTATAAAAAAGATAAAATAAATAAATTCATAACTTGAAATAATATTTCAGTTTAATTACTATTGCAAGTATTTTTTTTCTATTATATATTTCTGATATTATACTATAGATAGTAAAAAATTACGGTAACAAACTAATTCTTTAACTAACAGAAGTTGTTATATAGAAGCTGTATGCAGTTGAAATAATAATCTGTTACTAATCTTCATTATTCTAATCATATGTTTCTGGCATTCCATTGCACGATGTATGGTATTAATAACTTAATTAGTAAAATATGTCTTCCCTGTGCTGTACTGACTTTTCTCTTACCAAGTTGTGTTAAGTACATTTAATATATTTTTGTATATTCATCATAAACTATAATATCCCTGCCATTTTGCATTTTGACTTGTAAAGTTTGACTTCTAAATGAAATCTATTGCGTGAAGATAATAAGAGGTAAGTTTATATATTTTGCATAGTACTATAGTTTATAGTATTATGCTATATATGTTATATTCAGTATTTAGTATTACAATATTTATATTAAAATAAATACATGAAATAGTGTTAAGCATATTAATAATAAATAAATACAAAATTTGTTTTTAAATTTCCAAATTTTTCACAAAATTCTATTCTAAATATTATAGAAATTTAATTATTGTCTTTTAAAATATTGTATCCATTAAAATTTGTTTACAAAAATATATATTTAAATATCTTATAACTTTTATATTTTTATTTTAAATGATAAGTTACATATGTTTTTATTATTACTTTTATCACTATGTATTTACTTATATTTTATGTTCATAACTTATTTATTAATAGATATATATACATACTTTACTTTACATTACTTTATGTTATATCTAACATTGCATGCTTTAAATTTTTCATTTTTTATATTGAACATACATTACGTAATTCTTATAATTTATAACATTTTGATACTAATCAATATAAAATTATTTCAATGATTTGTACTTATTTATTTGTACTTAAATTTTTAATTTTTATAAACATGTTTATCTAGAAAGTAATTACTGGTCATAAAATTTGTATTAAAATTCATTAAAACATAATATGAAAGTAATATGATGTAAATTTAAAAAATTAAACTTTCTTATTTATGATTATGTGTAAAAATTTAAATGAATAATATTGGTAAGGATAAGTATGGCAATGGCAGGTGATGCAACGATTATCGACCCATGAGATATGCCTAGGCACAGGTTGTTTGGTTTATTCAAACGGAATTTGGAGGCGAGCGGTAATCAGTAACCATTCACAGTCCACAGGCTTTGATGTAAAATTCATTGATACTGGAGCATATGATGAAATTCTTTCAGATAGTGTGAGTTTTTTAAAAAAAAAAAAAAACGAGATCAATCTAAATGCTAGATTTACTTTGTATATATATAATGTAATATTATCGCTAGGAGTAGAAAGTTATTTAATACCATACTTGCTGCATTGAAGAATGTTAATGCAATGGTGAAATTCATTTTAGTGAATTAAATATTTGTAGAAAATTACATTTTTTATATTCTTATTAAAATTACAAATTCCTTACTTATAAATCTATAAACTAATATTGTATTGCTTGACATTAAGCAAAGCGCTTAATTAAAAATTTTAAATATTCAATATAATACATTGTTGATTATAATAAAAATACCCTTTTACTATTTGCTTTTATTTCATTTTTACTCAATAAAAATTTTCAATTACTAATATAATTTATTAATTTAGGTATTAGCTTTACCAGGAGAACTTTCAGTAATGCAGAATCAGGCAGTTGAATGTTCTCTTATAAATGCTACATCTATTTCTGAAACAGATATTACATTAAAAGAACTTATTGAGGGAAAAGAAATAATTATATATGTGGATGAAATTGATAATAACAGGTAAATATCTTTAGTTTATTTATGGATTGTTATTAAAATATTTTTCTAAAATATATTATTCAGTGTTGTTTTTAAAATTTGAACAAATTGGTAATATGAATATAGAAATATGCATAAGTAATTGGAAAATGAGTTTATTTGTGGTCATTTAATCCAGATATTTGTCTTTTTTTTTTTTCTTTTTAATTTATATCAGCTTAAATTTTCATTGGTAAATGCCTTATTTGTCAGTGATGTACATTTCACTGTTTATGCAAGTTAATGAATATTAATAGAGTTAATACTCTATAATTTTAATATTAAAAAACTAGGTTCATTTAATAAAGTAGTATTGCAATGTGATTAGTGAACTACCTTATAACAATTGTGATCGGAATTGTTTTTATTTGCATAAAATATGTTTTGATTTTTTCAGGCTTATTGTAAAATTATTTGATTTAAATGGTAATAAAATAAAGATTTCTGAAGATTCAGATGAAAAGATATCACCAGTATGTCCAATGCCTATTCTAAGTTCTACTCATAAAGTAACAGTATCATATGCAGATCATTCTGGTAGTATTTGGTTACAACGTAATACAGAATATTCTATGGACAAAAATTTAATGGAAGCACTTGATCAGTATTATTCTACTAATGGAAAATTATTGGAACCAAAAATGGATCTTTTATGCGCTGTTAAAAGTGTAGATGGCCATTGGTATCGAGCTAAGATCATAAAATATACTGAAACTGGAATCTATGTGAATTTCATTGATTATGGTAATAATGAAGAAGTTACTTCTAATGTATTAATGGCTTTAGATTCATATTTTTATACAACACATCAGTTGGCTATTAATGTATCGCTATCAGTAATGCTTAATGGTACAGTATCTGAACAATTAAATATACTACAAAATTATTTATCAAATAAAAAACTTACTGCAGTTTTTCATAATATAAATAAGAAATGGGTAGTGGAATTAATATATGATGGAGAAAAAATTAGTGATAAATTCCGGTCTCTTAATTTAACATCACAACAAGAAATATCTGGAGTGAAGAAACCTCAGATTCATAATATGATAGTGGGTTGTAAATACAATGTATATGTATCTCACGTAGATTCACCTAGTCAATTCTGGCTCCAATGTGTGGATGATGCCACAGACCTTTCTAATAAACAAAAAGAATTGCAAGTTCAGGCCCCTACATTTTCAGAAATAAATGGAATATTAGAAGAAGGAAGTTTATGTGTTGCTGTGTACACTATAGATAATTTATGGTATAGAGCACAAGTACTTGATGCTGACGAAGATATCACGACTGTTCGATTTATCGATTACGGAAATACGGATGTTATTGACAATAAATCTGGAAATATTCGACAAATACCAGATTCCTGGAAAGAAATACCAGAATATGCAATTAAATGCAGATTAGATGTTATTCCTGTAGACTCAGAAGATTGGAATGTTATAACTTCTAAAACATTTGAAAATTTAGTAACACCTATCGAGTCTTTACAAGCTATGGTAATAGCAAATAGTGTCCCAAAACGAATAGATTTGTTAATAAATGACATAAGTATTAGTGAAACATTAGTTGAAGAACATCATGCTGTAAAGGTTCATACAGAAGAGGAATTAATAGATGAAATAATTGATCTTGAATTGGATCCTCATTCTGCTTTTGTGAGTCACATTAATTCCCCAAATGAGTTTTGGGTTCAAGAAGAAAAATCTGTTAGTGATTTGGAAATTATGACTGACAGATTTATTATAGCACATATGTTTCCTAAAGTTGATGAAATTAAAGAAAACTTATTATGTGTTGCTAAGTATCCTGAAGATGAATGTTGGTATAGAGCACGTGTTATATCACACAATAATAATGCTACACGAGTCATATATATTGACTATGGAAATTCAGCTACCTCAACTGAAATACGTGCTATACCAGCAGATCTTGCAGATATACCTCCTTTATCAAGAAAATGTCGCTTAGCTATGCCAGAAGGTATTATGGAATGGTCTGAAAAGGCTTGTGAAGAATTCATAGCATTAGCAGCTGATGGAGCAACTATATTTTTATTAGATGTAATCAAAGAAGATGAAACATCATTAGTGAAATTGACATTAAACGATAAAAATGTAACAGACATACTTGCAAATTTTTGTAAACATTACTCGCCAATCATAGAGGAACGATTACCACCTTTGGGTGAAGAAAATTCACCAAATGTATTTATTAGTCGTGTTAATTCACCTGATGAATTCTGGATTCAAACTGAAAACAGTAACACAGATTTAAATATGATGTTAGATAGATTACAGGCAGCACCTAGTTTTCTTCCATTAAGTACATTTGAAATTGGAATTATTTGTGCTGCAAATTATTTAGGAGATGGTCAGTGGTACAGGGCAAAAATTCTTTCACATTCTGAAAATGGTACTGAAGTTCTATATATAGATTATGGCAATACAGCAATTACAAATGAAACCCGAATGTTACCAGTAGATATTATAAATATTCCACCCTTATCGAAACGTTGTGCTCTGAAAAAACCAGATACTATAAATTGTTGGTCTGCAGATGCTTGTAAAACGTTTGAAGATCTTGCTGCATGTGGAGAAACAATGTTCCAATTTGAAATTCTTGATGATACCAGTGATCCTGTTTATGTTAAATTAAGTTTTAATGGAAGCGATGTCATTGATATCTTAATACCATTTTCTGAAAATATATCTGAAGATGCTACAATAAAAGAAGACTTGTGCAAAAATAAAAATGTTAATAATGAAAATTATGAAGAAACTATAAAAAATCCAAATGTAGATGAAGCAAGGAAGAAGGAAGACATTGATGTAAATGAATTTCAAGAAGATATTGGGAGACAAAATCAAGAAATGAAAGAAAATGTAAATGATTCGCATGTGAATATTAACTCTATCGTAGAACTTACTGTAGATGAAATAGTTCAGAATATGAAAATGGATGAACCAGAAGGAGATGAAGATACATTTAGTAATCATAATAATACTATGTCCTGTAACAAAAATGACATAGACAAAGTAACAGAAAATTTAGAACTTTTAAAAACGCAAACTGAAATACAGATATGTAAAGACGAAAATGAAATACAAGATATTAAAATTGATATAGAAAATAATAAAAGTCATAATGAAACTACAAATGAAGAAGTTTTATCAAGTATAACAGGAAAGATGATATTAGATACAGTTTCAAACTCGTCAGATACTGAAAACAAATTAGAAAACTTTGAAGAAGGTCAAGATAATATAATAACTACAAAAGTATCTAATAATGAAATTGAAATATGTGAACCAAACATAAATATTCAGTATCACGAAAGTTCTAAAGATGGGGACACATTAAAATTAGAGAAATTTGCAGGCAAACAAATTGGAGAAGCACTAGAAAAAACTGAAACAAGTAATATTTCTACAAGTGTTTTAAAAGATGAGAATAACATTTTAACCACTGATAGAACAGAAAAATATGATACTGAAGACTGTACAATACAAAACAATAATGAAGTAAATATTAATACAATAGATTTTAAAGATTGTTCCAAAATAAAAGATATAAATGGAAAGAATGTGTCTTCAGATTTACAATTTACAGAAATAACAAACACTGAATGTATGATTAATGACCAGCAAGATAAAGAATCACTAGTTCATGTGACAGTTTCTGAAAAGATTAGTGATAGCAATGACATAGACAATTCTTTACAGCTCGAGAGTGCTCCTACAACATCAGAATAATTGTACAAAGACTGACTTTGTATTTGAATATTATTTTTAAATGTTTCTAAAATTACATTTTTAATAGTTAATTTAGAAATGTTTTATTATATGAATATCTTGCTTGTAAAAGTATAAAAATTCTTATAAATGCACGGAAAAAATGAACTGTGCTTTTGTTAAAAACAACATTCAGTAAAAGACAACATTCCCAAATGTATACTGCAGCTTTAAATGTAAAAAACTGAACTATAAAACATTATCTTTATTTTTATGTTATTATTTTATCTTTTTATAAAAGATAATTAAAAGAAACATAATTAAGGACAGTAGTTTATATTATTTGACTATGTACTATATTAAACAAATTTTGTTATATTATCTTAAAAGAAACTATTATACAAACGAAATATTGGAATATTAGAATACAATATAATTACACTATGATTTTTTAAAATCACAAGCATAATTTTTCTGGTGCTTTGCCAAAGAATAAGAAAGAATATACTGGATCTATGATAATTCAAAACTGTTTCTTTGTTTCAATATACTTTAATATGAAATAAAAACAGAAATCGGTAGTCTCTGATCTAAATAATTATATTAAAGATCAAAGACGAACATATACTTCATAATACTCATTTTGATTTAATACGAATTTATGTACTCATCTATCTTCATGAATGAAATGTAATTAAGGTTTAATGATAAAAGTATAAACTGCATATGTTTTCCTAACTTAACAAATTAAGTCTAAATTTTATAATGACTTAACACTTGAAATTAAGTTTTTTTTTTTTTTCAAATACAATGCTTCAGTTAAAATAGATATAATTTTATTATATATATATTAATATAAATAAATGATAAAATATTAAAGTCATAAGTAGGGCCTATAAATAACGATTTAAATATGTTATTATTACTATTATTAAGGTACTAATTATGAAATTAAAAAAAAATTTTTATAAATGAATAAATGCATCATAAAATTATATAAAATTTACGATAAATCATATAATTCAAATGATTCAAAATTTGTCTTTCTTTTTTTGTAACGATTTAAAATTAAATTTTGTGTTCATAGATTTTTTTTGTCACTACAGAAAAAAAATGTTATTTATCAAACTTCGTATTGTACAATGTTTTTTTTCTTTTTTTTTTTTTTTAACATTATATAGATACACTATAAAGTACTGTTGATAAAAATTAAACGAGTAGTAAAAATATAATTATTATAACTGATTTAATTTCTATTACAACATAAAACGTATTAGTATATGCTTATTATATTTTCATATATACAAGCAGGGAGGCAAACTTCAATTATACATGCTGGTAACTTTTACTAAAAAAGTACGTTCTTTTTAATAAACGTTTATTACAATAAGGTAATCTACGTAAATATATACTCTAGTTATTAATTTTATACTGCATCAAAAAAGCTAAATGTATATATATTGTACTTCAATCACTATGTGTTAGCATTTAAGACAGATTATTTATCAAAATTATAATGAAAAATTAATATAAATTAATAACACATTTTAAACATAAATAAAAATGAAACGATATTTTCCATAAATTACAATGTAATTACTTTTAAAAACAAAACAAATATTTTTAATATTAGAACGCATAGTTGCGTAATTTTCGTTTTCACCAATAAATCTTAAATTTCTATAATAAATTGAAAAATTAATGGTAACAACATGAATTAAAAGTTTTCGTAGATTTAAATTTATATTTTTCATTTCTTAAATGCTAATAAATTATTCTCTGATAAAGTAGTGTATATATATATTTCTATAATACTTCTTAAATAATTTTAATGAAGAAGTATAATAAAATGAATTATATACTGAAAGAAAAAAGACACCGAAACTTTACTTAATTGATTATAAAAATATGATTTGTTCGAAAATACAGAAATACTAATTTGACTTATGTTTAGTTAATATATTTATGCACATATGTAAACATATTTGTGATTTCAAATTATTTAGATTGATAGAGCATTGAAACACAAATCAGAAATAACATAACGTAACCATTGCATAAAGTATTTACAGTATTTCGTTCTTTAACAAATATGAAATTATGTAAACATTTCTATTATAATAAAATATATTTTCTAATACGAATTTGAAAATATTTATTATTTTAAGTAAAATATAGTAATGATACTTTGCTTTAAATAGTAATGATATTAGGAAAAAAAGAATATTAAAATTTAAACATCTAGATAAACATTTTAATAACATATTTGATACAAATTTTTCGATATCAATAAACCTACTTTATTGTGTTATATTTATTATTTGAACTATTTTACATTACATTTTTTTATTTATTTTCATTTGCATTTTCTTTGGATACATTTATATCTTCATAAACTTTGCTTAACATTTTCTTCCTTCTTTGTTGCCTTCTTTTCTCTACTTATAAAAAATAAGTACTTTAATTATTTTTATATAATATTATCATAAAAATATCATTAACGAAATGTTTCGATGATTGTGGTCTATATAAGAAATATTATGTAAATTACATAAAAAAATAGAATTTAGTTTTAATATTCTAAGATATTAAAATTATTTGATAATATAAAAGTTTCAAAATAATAAATTAAATTTAACTTTGAATGTTAGTTTTTTAATAAGTGTTTCTATTAACATGTTGATGAAAGATTTCATAATTTTACAATAGTAATTGTTTGTGTAAAACAAAAATGAAAATCACGTAAATTTTATCTATATTATAGTTTACATACTTTTGATTTTATTATCATAAAGATATTAAATTATTATCAAAAGATTATACATTATATTTTTTACATTATTTATAAAAATAATTAAATGAATATAAATTAAATTAATTAATTTGATACTTTTCTGTATACAGAAATGAATAAGCAATATAGTTTTATAAATGCTTAAACACGTATACTGTAAAAATTTATTTGCACAATCAAATTGTATTGTGTACCCTTTATTTTAGCAATTTTAATATTTTTCTCCATTTCTGCATTATGCATTTCTTGCCTCCTAATCATCATAATTTCATGAGCGGCTGCTATTTCTTCTTCTAAATACCACTGAAGCGGTCCTCTGCATCGTTTACATATCATTAATTCACCTAAAGGTTTAATGGATCTATCTTGTTTGTCGGCATCAGTTATACCACGATAGATGATGTCTCTACGACGTCGTCGGCCATATGATTGATCACTCCAATTGATTTGATGAATATCTCGATATTTACTTCGAAGTCCACTTCGTTGTCCACTTCGAAGACCTGTTCGTTGGGTATTTCTTTGAATACTTCGTTGAATGAAAGGTAAGATATCGTCATGTTCTTGAATACGAAATTTAATATCAGGTCCTCCAACATTTGGATCACTTGAAGGAAAAAATGACACTGACTCGTCTTTTGATGAGAGTAATTTTGAATCTTGGTTTTTGATATCACAACAAAATCCATAAGGCTTTGCTAAAAGATCATGTTGCGATGTACTGACATTAAGGTGATTTGTCTGGCTTCTTTTCATGTTTTGTTTAATATGTTTAATGTTGATGTACTTCGAATTTAAGCATATTAAACGACGAAAGAATCATGTTGGATTCCTATTCCAAATAGGTTTGAAAAATTTGAAAGAACTATCTAGGAAAATTATTGTTTTCGCCTTAAATATAAAGGTTGTTACTTGCTAAAGTAATAATCATAAATTAGCTTTAAATTATTCATAACAATTAAACATTATAAAAATAATCGAAGAAATTAAGTATTTAATTTCTTAACAGTTTATAAATTAAATGAGGTATTAAAAATCATTATTTATAGATGTAAATAAAATGTCATCTTGACATTTTATATTGGAAATTTATCATTTTAATCATATATATAGTTTGAAATAGAATTATTTCAAGATTAATATTAAAAGTTAATTTTATTCATTTCGATTATATGATACGAACATTTATACAACTAGCGCCATTTTTTATGTAAATGAATGGTTCCATTTCAGGAAAGTCGTATACAAGCAAGTTGGAGATTATTTAATAATGTGTGTGTGAGATTTTGAAACATTATTCGTAAAATTATGAATTCCTCTACTTTGTCATCTGGAACTTTGAATCATTCACCAGGACAAAGAGCTTCGGAATCTCAAGATTCAGAACTAACCTCAGTTGGAAATCAAACTTCAAAAATCTTAAGTCAAATGAAATCTGAGCTACAGGAGCAAAAGCAGCAAGATCGTTTACTTCGAGAACTACATTTAAAACGTGTTCAATCATTACGGAAAGAATTGGATTATATTAAAGCAACAGAGTGGAGATATCAACCAATTGATCGGTACATCCTAATTATCCAAGTATTTGTTGCAAATATTCTTTTATATATAATATTTACATGAGTTTTAATAGTAAAAAATAAATGTCCATAGGTACATGGATACAAATAATAGAAATTGAATATGTTGTCATTTATGTATACCCTTATAAAGTATGCTATAGGATATAAGTCATCTATTAAAAGTGAACCAGATGAAATAAGTAATGTTATAGCTCATATTGAAAGTGCTTATAGAAAGGAAATGCAAAAAAATGAATATTTTGATAAGGATGCATGTTATTATAAAGCAGGAAATATTACCTTTATTGCTACTGACTACGTGATAATTGATGACTTTTATGTTTGTGATGCAGTGAATGTTTTAATAAATAATTTAAAAGTAGGTGATAAAGTCTATTACTTAACATCACAAAATAACCATGAGAAAGAACACAAAATAGAAAAAGTTATTTCTGTAATAGATGAATCATGGGATAATGAAATAGCAAATTCTCAGATAAATATTATTAAACCACAAGCATTAACAAGATGTATAATTGGAAAGGTTACAGAACGTAAGAATCGTTTATTAATAATAGAACCATGTAATATTACTGTTGATTTAAACAAAGTAGAATCTGAATTTATTCCTGTAATTGGAGATTGGTTAAAATTAGAATCAGAAGTAGAAATTAATGCAGATTCTTATAATCTAAGTGGACAAATTTTAGAGATAAAAAAGATACAACCTTTACGATCTAAATTAGATATTAAAGCTGTATCTAGTTTTGATCCAATTAAAGAAATTGGTGTTATTGGTTCAGATACTGTATTTAATAAAAGAATATGTGATTCTGGTTATATTCCTTGTATTGGTGATAAAGTAATAAGCGACAGTATTGAAAGTGATCAGGGATTTTATACATGGAGATCATTGACAGTGGTTCCAATATTTCAGGCAAGTTCAGCACTTACGTAAGATCATAATTTCCTTGAGTTATTATATTGTATTTATTATATTTTTATATAATTATATACTTAATGAATAATATTAATTTTTTAAATATTTTGAGTATTTAATAAATTATGTTATGTAAAAGATTAAAATCAAAATATAATGGGAGTTTATTTTTTATAGATCTCTGTTAAAGAAACTAAATTTCCAATACTACATAATATCATTATGCCAAAAAAGAATTTAAATAAACTTCTACAAAATAAATTTGACATTGTTATTAGTGATAATCTAAATATTGATTTACATATACACGAAGAAAAAAATTTATCAGTTACTATAAAAAATGTAGGTAATACTACTCATTTATTGCACAAAGGTTGTTTTATGGTAAAAAAAGCCCATTCTCAACTAACATTAGTGCAACCAAATACTCCTAATACAGTTTCAGTATTAAATCCTTCTGATACATTAATTTATATATTTAAGTGTACAGCAAAGTTTATTGGTATAAGCAAAGAAGTATTTATTTTTAATTTCAAAGATTTTGAAATTGGACGAATTTTTAACATCACTGTTAAACCTGTGCAAACTAAATCATTCTATAAAAATAATAGCATCAAAACCAATTATACACCAGATCTTGATGGATGGAGTGAAGGTACATATATTCCAGGTATTCGTCCATGTAAACCACCATCATTTATTAAAAAACGAAATGCTGTATTCAAAATTCCTAAACATTATTGGGATATAATATCAAAATGCATAAATGAAAGAAAATCACAAATTGAGTGTGCAAGTGATTTCGGGAATGCTATACCCTGTTTATTGAATAGTCTTTGTTTTGAATCATATAAAGATCGTTTTCATGCTTTATTATATTTAGAAGAAATTGCTCAGAAAATAAATATGCAACAATATAATATAAATAGTACAGTTATGAGGCATTGTGGGGAATATTTGGTTATGCAAGTACCAGGACTTGCAGAGAAACGTCCATCCCTTCTTATTGGTGATAGAGCTATAGTATGTTTTAAGTGGGATAATTCTGAAGGTATGGTATGAAATTTAAAAGTTTACATGAAACTTAAATTTCAATAATATTTGCAACAGGAAAATTAAAATATGAAGGATTTATTCACAAAGTTACAAATTCAGAAATTTTTTTGAAATTCAATTATAAGTTTCATCAAGAATATAATTATGAAGATTGTCAAGTAACATTTAAATGTTCACAATCTGTTATGCAATATTGTCATAATGCAATTAATATGGCTGTACATCGTCTTGGTCAGAATTTTTTGTTTCCTACTCATGTAGTAGAGAAAGAACCTCAAGTAAATGTTGAAGAATTCGAAACAAAAGATCAAACAATTTTTAAACAGCCAACTGACCAGCGAACTGATTCTGTATCATCAGAATCTTCTACTAGTACTACATCTATAAGTAATAAATTAAATAATACAAAAAAACCATTTACAAAAATGTCAGTTGTACAACAATTATTTAACATTGAACCTATTGACCAGAACACAGAAATTACAATAAGGCCTGATGCAGTAGCAACAGATGAGCAGCATTTTGAAACAAAGAATAAAACAAATATTACCAAAAAATCAGTAAATACATTACCACAAGATTTAAAAGAAATATCGCTTCCTTCTTATAGTAATGAGATACAGGCTATTATTGCACAAGTACAGAAACGAAAATTGCTTTGGTTTAATAAAAATTTGAATTTTTATCAAAAAGAAGCTGTAAAAAATATCTTAAAAGGACATGCACGACCATTGCCTTATGTAATATTTGGACCTCCTGGTACAGGAAAAACTATTACTCTTTGTGAAACAATTTTGCAAATCTTATCAACTATACCTGAAAGTCGATTGCTAATTGCAACACCATCTAATAGCTCAGCAAACCTTATATCAGAAAGACTACTAGATAGTGGTGTACTTAAACCTGGTGACATGGTACATAATAAGTTTACATAATTTCATTTTATATAAACTTACTTCATTTATTTACTTTCTTTTTTAGGTACGACTTATAGCTTATCATTGTTTGGGTAGTGATAGTATACCCAGTAAGTTATTACCATACTGTACCACTGCTGAATTAGCAGATAAATCAACAATTCAGAAAATAAAACATAATGAAGTAGAATCAAAATTAAATTGTACCATGAGTATACTTGGACGTCATAGAATTACTATCGGTACCTGTATTGCAGTAGGAATATTAAATAATATGGGACTTCCGCGTGGACATTTTTCACATGTACTAGTTGATGAGGCTGGTCAAGCAACAGAACCAGAGATCATGATTCCGCTTAATTTTATTCATTCCGATTATGGACAAGTAGTTCTTGCAGGTGATCCATTACAACTGGGACCAGTTGTACAAAGTGGAATAGCAAAGAATTTTGGTTTAAACGAATCATTCTTATCAAGATTATTACGTCAGTTTCCTTATCAAAGAGATCCTAATGGTTTTGAAACATGTTACGACCCTCGACTTGTCACAAAACTTGTTCTAAATTATCGAAGTTTACCAGAAATACTCGAACTATCCAGTTCTCTATTTTATGATTCCGAATTAAAAGCACAAGTACATTCGTTTACCTTAAAAACATTTTATTAATTTCTTAATTTTATAATCATAAATATAATATATATATATGTGTGTGTGTGTGTATATATTTTCAGATTTCTGCCACAAAAAGCAAAGAAGCAAAACTTTTGCAAACATTAGCTACAGAATTACCAAAAAGAAAAGGTGCCCCACCAGCTATCATTTTTCATGGTGTAAATGGGGAGAATTGCAAAGATGATGATAATCCAAGTTGGTACAATCTCGAAGAAGCAACTCAAGTTTACCTTTATTTGATAAATTTATATAAATGTGGAATTTCGCCTAATGATATTGGTATTATAACTCCATATCAAAAGCAGGTGAATAAAATATAACTTATTAGGAAAACTTAAAAACATTTCATGCTTTATTCATTAATTATTTAATACAGGTCTTCCAAATCCGTGAACTACTCATGGAATTAAATGTGGAATTACCAAAAGTTAGTAGTGTTGAAGGATTTCAAGGTCAAGAGCGTAATATCATCATTATTTCAGTTGTGCGATCTTCAAATAATTTTGTAAATGAAGATATTAAACACTCGCTCGGATTTGTTGCTTGTCCACGAAGACTTAATGTTGCAATTACTCGAGCTCGTGCTTTAGTTATCATTTTAGGAAATCCTAGACTTTTAGTTCAGGATCCATATTGGAGAAGTGTCTTGATATACTGTATCAATCAAGAATCTTATATTGGATGTAGCTTTGCTTTTGCCGATATGGAAGATTCTTGTTTACAACCAAATGATTCTTTTAAAAGCGGCGAAATTAGTAATGATGATTCACAATAATATTCATGAATTAAATTTTTCTATATTTATCGAAATATCTGTTAATAGATTATAAAATTACATTTTCTTTTATACAGTACTTTAGATTTACACATCTTTACGAAGTAATAAATTATATTATTATTAAAAACTATATATTAAAAATTATATTATTTTTATATGAATGAACGAACAAAAAATTTCTAATATAAAAAACGTATAATCTATAACAATTTAGATTTAAACGATAAGTTTATATCTTTTAATCTTCATTAATTTTTTCATTTATAAAATTGATTTTCAATTTTTTAATATTTTATAGTGAACAGTGTATTTATTTCTTACATAAAATTAAATAGAAAACTCTTTGCTAAAATATCTATTTAAAGGTATTTGAAATTAGGAGCATTGAAATAACATAAAATTATGCTTTCTTTTTACGCGTTTCTTATAATGAAATGTGTAGATACATGTTACAAAACGTACAATAGCTTTTATGTTGTAATATACACACGTATATATATAGAAAGTTTCTGTAATATTTTTTTATTCACGCAAATTAATTTTCTTAACAAAAATGTATAAATAAAAATATATTGACTTTACGATATATCTCTTGCTCCACTTTACATACACAGAGTTGAATTAGTTCACTGTTGGATGTTTTGCTTACAGTTTTGAATTGAAATAAATGCTTTTTTTTGACTGTATCTCTGCACATTATATCATGATGTCATAAGTCCAAGTTCCATGGGGTCTGACTCTGTAAAAAATAAAGCATTTTGCTATGATGTGTACAAAGCAAGCAAAAATGAATTACATTTAGAATAAGGAAATTTCTTGTGCTTTTAATTTATTCATACATGAATGGTTTGATGAATTAATAATACCTTGCATATTGTATAGGATACAATTCAATTACAGTATAGTACTTAGTGTAATAATGTAATTTCAAAAAAGTTAATTAACAAACATTAATGTAATATGGTTCTCCTTTTATTCTCATTATACAAGAATGAGGTGTATAATATATAATAATGTAATCGTTAAAAACGCATTCATGTAACGGTTAAAAAAAAGTTAGTAAAAAATGATTAAGTAATATTTAATTAAATTTTTTAATGTAAAATGTGAGTTCTTGATGAAGAGAATCTTAATCATTTTGAGTTAATCAGGTGACTGAAAAGAGGGAAAAAACACTGATGCATGAAAAATGATTGTGATTGATACTGACCTTAGTTAGTTCCACACTATACTTACAGGCTCCTGATTCTTAGCTTTTAATTTCCGTTCAATTAAGTTTTCTAATGCTTCACTACGAACACTTAAGGTTTCAATTTTTTCAATTAGTTGTTGATATGGTGAGGCAGGTTGTCCACCCATTACAACATGCCCTAATTTGCTGTCTATTTTGGCATCTAATCGTGCGTTACGGATTAAATTAACAATCCAACATTCTGCTACATCTGCCTTCATATTAAGCTTTTCTGCAAGCATCCTATAGTACAAAAATATATTGAAAAATTCTGAAAATATATTCTTATTTAACACGTTCACGCCAGCATGTGCCACTGGTAGCTCATACTTAAATATCACATCTATGTGGCTGCTCTACGCGCCGCTCGATGGAAAGAAACACGAATTACTACGCCGGCATGAACATGTTAAATGTAAAATTAGAACAAAGTTATTATGTACCCAATACTTATGCACTGATGTATTCTACAGAATGTTTCAAAGATCATTAAACGAGCATTCTCTACAAATTCATTTAGTAAAGCAATCAAGAAAAAATCATTAAGTACAACTGTTTGACATTCTTGCAATTTTTGTCTTGCTCCATCAAAATCAAAATTGACATATAAATGTTCTAGAAATTCTGTAATGGGATCACGATATGTATAAGATTCCTATAACAAACAATTAAATTAATAAACTTTAAAATTACATCTAACTAAAATTTGATTAATAACATTTTAACAAGAAATTGATAACAAACTTGTTGTATCACTTTCACAAGATCTTTCAGTATAGATCGTCTAGAACGATTAACAATGACTGCAGCTGCTAAGTATCTCAATATATGAGGACACATTGTTTGAATTGCATTTAGATAACTGTAAAATAATAAACGTGTGAATTAAATCCTTTAGTATATTTAACATATTATCTTAGTGATGTAAAATTTAGTAATGTAAAAGTATTGACATACTGTGGCCTATAAAGAAACATCTCTACAATTAAATCTCTGCCCTTCACATGATTGAAAAATACAAATAAACTCCAATGAATAAGCCATGTCCTTTGTTGTAATACTTGAAGAGAGTTTCCTATGATATTGCTATCAATGTATTCTCTTAATTTATTTACATCTTCTAATGCAGTTTCCCAATTTTGTCCTAAGATTTCTGATGCCAATTTACCCCAAAGTACATTTAAATAATTCTAAAAATTATATACTTATATATACTTTATCATTATGAAAACAAATTAGAATTTTATTAATTATTCTATAATTATTAAATTTAATATGTTAATACCTTATCAGTTGGTGGCATTATAAGCATATAGAAATATAAATATGATGTACAAATAGAATAATTTCCACATTCATAACGATATTTTGCTAATTTCACTAAACTATCCATCATTTCCACTCTGAACTATAAAAATTTAATACATATAAATTAAAATAAACCTTAATTGTGTATATAGTTAAATGTTAATAGTTAATATCAATACTTAATATAAACAATCAGTAATGTGATACATGACAAATGACATAAAACAAATGTTCACAATGTATAATTACATAATATAATACGTTTTTTTTAAATTTGTGATTTAATATTGCATCAACTGCAAATATAGTACTATATATTTCATTTCACTTACATTAGACTCTTGAGTAAGATAATTGTTCAATGCCTTAGAGTCTCGCATATTTTCCATTTTCTTCATGACTTCTTCATCGTTCATAAGCATTACAACAACAGATACATTATTTTGTAAATTACTAAGTTCTTGTAATACCTCTGCACGATGAGATTTCAATTCCTACAATTAAAAATTTTCAATTACATCTGTCATTTACAAATAAATACTACCGCTTATTATGTTTATCAATACCTCTGGCACTTCCAAATTAGGATAAAGTTGTTGTCGAATATCAATTGTATAATCTATCATATTTGTTTTGCTAAGAATATCGAGCTTAGCTTGAAGTAACTCGTACTCATCGTAAACCTAAAACGCACAAATGCATTATAACCAAACTATCTAAAGCCAAAATATTATTCTGTTCATTATACCTGTTTTGCAGATAAGAATTCCAAAAGTGGAAATACTAAATGTCGATCAAGATATTGACCTATACGTGATGTTAAATCGAATTTTGCCATTTCTTTTCTTAAGGAAAATTGAACTAAAACAAATCTAACCACAATGTACGTATAAAAAAGGAGCTGACCACGCTCCACGTTAACGTCAATGAATATAGAATAGATTGAATGGAAAGTTTCTACTAACGTAGATCGGATTTATATTTTAATGCTATAGATTACTTCAAATGAGTTAAATATTTTATTTAAACCAAATTAAAAAATAAATGCAAAAATAAATTATAAGAATATATTTTTTAGTAAATTCAATCTTAAATATAAAACAGTTCAAATTACATGAATGTATATATTATCAAATAAAAACAGTTGTAATAATTTTATATTAATTATATAATTAAATAACATAAAAAAACAAATAAAATAATATTATGAGATAAATAACAGATAAAAAGGATCAGATAAGTTTGTAGAATTAATTGGTATATTATTATAAAATTCATTATAAAAAATAAGAAAAAACATAATTTTGTACTATCTTTCGCGACATATTATGTATGTTTATTTCTGTTTCGATGAAATAATTTGGTTGAATTGTATATCTAAATTTAAATTGCTATTATATATTACGTATAACATGAAATTTACATTACACACTTTAATAATACAAGGTATCATTAATATATATTATTTAACGAAAAATATATCTTAACTATTTTAATGTTTTATAATTTTATTTTGAATGAAATAGATTTGAATGAAAGTATTACAAAACTTATTTATATTTAATGAAACGAGAGTTCCAGGTAAAAAATGTATTTCTAAGTTAATTTATAAATAAGTATATTTAGAAAAATTTATTCAATTAAAAAGTCGCGTGTAGACGTTTAGTATTTAAGTTCTTATATATAGAGTATGTATTTTATGGTTCACTTCGTTACTACTACATTTCCATTTATGAATATGAATGTGAATTGTTCCATGAGCCAGAAGTAAATTTCTGTTCATTTGTGAATACTGTTAGTAGATTTTCTATATTAATATTTATAAATAACGAAAAGTGAATGAAATGCCACCCAAAAAGGCACCTGCTCCCAGTAAAAAGGCGGAGCAAAAGAAAAAAGAAAAAGTTATTGAGGTATTCGAATATAACATTTTATATTTCTAACCTTAAAATATCACTTTCTTTATTTTGAACATGTGTATTTATAAAAAATTTTTACTTTTAATATTTGTACTTAAATGTCACATTTTTTCGTAGGATAAGACCTTTGGTATTAAGAATAAGAAAGGTGCCAAACAACAGAAATTTATTCAACAAGTAGAAAAGCAGGTAAAATCAGGTGGTGTTAATCCACGGAAATTAGAAGATCCTAATATTAAAAAAATTGAAAAAGAAAAGAAATTAAAGGAGCAAAAAGAATTAGCTCTGATATTTAAACCTGTGCAATCACAAAAAATAGATAAAGGTATTAACTGAGTAAGGTTATTGCAGCATCTAGTTAAGACATAGATTGTCAACAATTGTTTGAATATGCTACATTAATATAAACTGTAATTTTTGTATTAATTTTATTATTATTTTTATTTTTATTACGATTAAATACAAACAGTTAGAATTAAAAATAATAATTATTTAATTTTTATAGGAACTGATCCCAAATCAGTAGTATGTGCATTCTTTAAACAAGGACAATGTACGAAAGGTGATAAATGTAAATTTTCTCATGATTTAAGTGTAGAAAGGAAAGCAGAGAAACGTTCATTATACTGTGATATGAGAGATGATGATAAGGAAACTGATACAATGGATAAGTGGGATGAAGATAAATTGAAAGAAGTTGTTGAGAAGAAACATGGTAGTGGTAATCGTCCAACTACAGACATTGTGAGTATAGATTCATAATATTGTAGTATTTATGATTAGAAGCGTGGGAAAACAAATATTTTTTTAATTTTAGATTTGTAAACATTTCTTAGAAGCAGTTGAAAAATCAAAATATGGGTGGTTTTGGGAATGTCCATCAGGACAAAAGTGTATTTATAGACATGCATTACCACCTGGTTTTGTCCTCAAAAAAGATAAAAAGAAGGAAGATAAAAAAGATGAAATTTCTTTAGAAGATTTGATTGAAACAGAACGAGCAAATTTGGGACCAAGTCAAGTATGAATATATTTTAATAATTTATAACATAATACATAAATTTTTATTAATGATACATATGTATATATATAAATGTTCTTTAAAAATATTTATTATACTTTTCTAAAATGCATAATGATTTATTAAATATTTTGATAGACTAAAATAACACTAGAGACATTTTTGGCATGGAAAAAAAGAAAATTAAAAGAAAAGAAAGAACAGGCACTAAAAGACGAAGAGAAAAGACGAAATGATTATAAAGCTGGACGTCAAGTTGGTATATCTGGTAGAGAGATGTTCTATTTCAATCCAGAGCTTGCTGCTGGAGATGGTATTTTCTGAATTGTTTTACATGTTACATATTTTATGTTTTTGATATAAATATAAAATTTACTTTTAAAATGTGTTTAGGCATTGATGATGGAGATGAAGCAATATCTAGCTATGTTCGTGAAGAAGATGAAACTGAAGAAAAAGTCGAATACAGAGAACTTGATATGGATAGGCTTGCTCTTGAAGCTAGTGAGATTGATACCTCTGGAATAACTGTAGCTGGTGCGGATCGATTGATAAATAAAGATACAAACAATTCCACGGGTATGCAGAAAATACATTTCTTGTTGTAAAATAATATTCCAAGATTAATATTAATAGTTTATATTTTTATGATAGTTACTATCGGTGAAGGTGCAGCCGCATTAGCAATAAATGAAAATCTATTTAAAGAGGAAGATTTAGAAGGTTTAGAAGAGGAATTAGAAGATTTAGATTTAGAAGAGTGATTTAAATATTTTGTTCAAATTCTTCCCTTTACTCAGTGTCTTGATTTATCTGTATCTTTACAATACATATATTGTCAGCATATTATATATACATTCACTAGTTCAAAATGTAATATCTTGTATATTGTTACTTACATCTTATATTTTATTTTCAAGCAATATACTTACATACAATATACATACGAAGAGCTGGTCTCGTGTAAGTTACTTGAAATTGAAATTGATGTATTTTAATATAATTATGATTTTTAATTTTTTACGATTAAAAATATAGTTTAATTCTTTGTTATTGCATTCATGAGTTATTTGACGTTTCTACGAATTGATAAAAATAAAATTATATTGCAATTATGAAAGTATTTAAAATATTAAGTTTTTAAATTACTTTTAGTAATGTAATTGCGGAGTTGAAATATATATAGCTTAAGCTACAAGTAAAATTGAAATTTAATATAATAACGAGACTAGCAAACAATATAAATTATTTTCTCAAAAATATTTATGATATATGTAATCATTAACAGCAGAATACATAATAAATAATTTATAAATTCATTTGATTTACTAAAATCAAAACATTCGTGATATATTGAATAAAAGTGAACATGAAAAAATATAACATAGAATATTTTTATTTATATTTCTGAAGTTTATATTATGAGATTTTAATTAAAAGTATGTTTTATAAGTTTTTAATGATTCAACATAAAACAAGCAATTGTTATTAATTATATGAATGTATTGCTTTGTGTAAAAAAAAAATATTTGAATATTTTACTACTTATAAAATTATAAGTCATTTATTGTAAGTACTAAATGCATAAACAGTTTTCGCAATATAAGTGATATGATATTCAAATAATTTTTTCTTGTATGAAGCAAAAATTTCGAAGACCACGGTGATATTTTAGTATTAATTGCATATACATTTATATATATTATTATACAAAATTTATAATCAAGAAAAGAATTTAGGTTATATTAAATTCATAATTTTTTTTTATAACATTTATTCAATTTAAAAAAAATAAGAAATTCTCTGAACTAAGATAATATGAAAAATAATAATTTGAAACAATTGTATAAAATATTTTATATACAATTAATATACTATTTGTAAATAAAATTATATAAAGATTTGATGTTTCAATGATTACAAATTCTTGTGTTTTATAATTTGGAATATATTACAAACTATTTTAATCATACTTAAAATTTTATATATAATATATGATATTAGTCATACATTTTTATCTTAACAATTTATTTAGTACTTACATTTTAATCAGTACATTCTATGACTTCTATATTCTTTGCATAAGACAATGACACTATGCGTCGAGATGTACGATATTCATAAAATTCAATATCTGGATGCTTTTCTAATAAGTATTTATATGCACTAGTAAGTTTATCAATGTCTTCCACTGTAAGTTGTACTGGTCTTATTTCAGGATTTAAATCAGAAAGTTTGAACATCATATTTGCTAATTCAGTTCGATGTTCCAAAGGAAACAATGTCCTGAAAAGTAAATGAAAATTTGATAATTGTATTACTTAATTCTGTAATTGTATTAATTAATTATTTTTCATAAACATAAAATAAGAAAATATGTAGAAAACAGATATTTAATGTGATAATACCTTTGTGCAATCTGTACTTACTCAATACCTCGTATACTATATTTTTGACGAAAACTAAAAATGTGTCGTGTTACTTTCTCAAAAATTTTAAATTCATGTCTTGTTCGTGGAACAATTAAAGGTACAAATGATACAACACCAACATCAACTTTTGGTTGAGGAATAAAGGCTGAACCTATTTGTAGTAAGAAAAGATGGAATAAATTCAATAGATAATAAAATTTAGCAGTATCAAGAATTATAAAGTGAAAATTAAATTTACCTGGAATAATAAAATGCAATATTGGACGTGTCCAAGCTTGTGCCATTACAGATAATCTACATCTTTGTATGTCCATTGGTTCTGCTATTAAACGTTCAGCAACTTCTTTTTGAAATGTTAATAACATTCTAGTTCTTCCAAATGCCCAAGGACCACTTTTTTCACTTATTCTATGTAACCACTTTATTATTAAAGGTGTTGATACATTAAATGGTAAATTACCAATTAATCTGATTTTTGGACCCTTATCTGTCCAAGCTTTTATTTCATTTTCAGAGAAAATATTGCTCATGTTTATCTTCATAATGTCGTCAAAAATAATTTCCATTTCACCATTAACAGATGCAAAAGCATCTGCTAACATTTCTAACGAAGGTTTAAATCTTGTGTCTTTTTCTATAACAGTTAGCTTTCTTGGTTGACATGTCAAAATAGATTGTGTCAATCCACCAGGACCAGGACCAACTTCCAATACATGACACTCAGCAAGATTTCCTACTCTTTTAACTATTTTATCTGACAAATTTTTATCCAAGATAAAGTTTTGTGAAAGATGTTTTATTGCTTTTAATCTATATATTTTCAACACATCTTTTATACTTAGCAAAGGTGGTAGTCTTAGATTGGACATTTTTGTTTCTTCTTATATTTTTAAAAGCAAAATTACATTCAATGCAGTTGATTTATTGTTACTAAATATTTACATTATATTATATGTCTATATTATTTTTAATTTTAATTATTTCGTTATTATACAATTAGACCATATGCAGAGAAATATACTATGTATTACAAATATAAATATTCTTAAGCAATATTACTTTTTGAAGTAGGTTGTTTAACAATTATTTTTTCAGGTTCTTCTAGATTATTTAAGAAGGTTTCTTGTTTCATAGCATATATGGTATAGAAATAAATTCCCAGAGCTATACCACCTAAACATACACCGGATATAACACATTTGTTACGTCTAGTTTTATACATCTGTGCTTTAGAAACAGCTATTTCTTCTGCTTGTTTCATATATATTAAATGACTGTATTTTAGTTTATCTTTATCTCTTATAAGATCTACTTTTGGCATAAACTCACTATTTTTGCCATCTGTAAATGAAACAATTAGCAGAATATTTATGATAGTACATTATTTAATAAATAATTTTGCCATTCACCAGCTTGCATCTTGTGTACTTCTTCTCTTTTTGTGTAATGCGATATATGAAATCCTATTATTATTTACCTTATCACGTTTCTGACTCTGTTAAAAGAAATGATTATATAAGTATTAAATGCATCTCAATTTCTATAACTGAACTTTATAAAATAACTATTATATTTATGGAATACATACAAATTCTTTGGCGCCAATTTATATTTATATTAATGTTAATTAATAATGTTTTTTAAGTTATATATTGTAATTGTTTTTATGAAAATTTTATTAAGGTTATGATATATTACGTTTTCTAAATTTGTAACTTGTACTACTCTTAAGGTCTATAGGATTATATACAAGATTTATCTTTCTGAATATAAATTTAATACTCGTATTAACAGAATAAAATATACCTGTATCTTCAGTTTCTGAATGAAAAATGTGAAACCACGATTAACTGTAGTATGCAACTTCTCTGCGCATGCGTTTTAATTTATGTAACATTGGTATACCTTGAACACAAGTTTTGTTAGAAAAACATATTTCTAAAATAATAAGTAGTTTAATTATTTAATTGTTTAGTTATTAATTTGAATGTAATAGTTCATTAAGATAGCAATATAGTAATGGAAAAATTATAATGAAACAAAGGAAATGTGAAGTATAATTTAATTAATTAATATCGTAATTATACGTGTATATATATTATATTATTAAAATAATTCAATAAAAATTATTTCTTCATCGTGTAACAAAGGTAACGATAAAATTATAAGTATTTATTAATAGTTTAAGAATTAGGAAATATATGATGGAATCAATCTTCAAAAACACAATAATTTACAATAGTACAATAGGTTAAATATTTAAAAATATATCAAAAAAATATTCATATGAATAATTTAGCAGTTAAGTTTCATATATATTACTAAATTAATTTTGTGTTTTTTTCACGAAAGAAGTTATTCTACACAGAATTTACATATATATAGTATTGCACTGTAGCAATATATACTAGTAGTATACTATACACTATATACTATACATATATATAGTATTGCACTGTAGCTATCTGTAGCTAAGGCGCTTGAGAGATTTTCGTGTAATCACATAATTACTTCAATTTCCCTGATAATCCTTTCGTACTATTGCTACAATTGTTGACACCATTTTCATGATAGTAAACTTACATTCATGATAATCAAAACACGCGAATTGAATAATTTCTTCTTGATTTCTTTACAAAAATATATATTAAGTTATACGCAAAATGTAATTTTCAATACATTTTATTCTATATGCCTATGTACATATTGAATAAAAATGTTGGTTAGAATTGCTGCATTTTTAGTTAATATTTGTGTATATATAAAATATGACAATATATTGAAATTATGAAATCAACAACAAATAATTTTTATGAATATTATCGAGACAATAGTAAAATCAGTAACTTTAGCTAAATTAATTTTAAATTACATTTATAGTGATTTATACATTCCATTAATAAATTTATATATTTTATTGTATTATATTTTATTAATAGTGTATGAATCACAAAACAGTAAAATTTTGTCAAATATTTTATCTGAATTATGATTCGGTGAAATAGAGCAATGTATTAATATATTATATGTAAGATAGTGGAGATATATTTTCCTTCTAAATTACAATATAATATATCATTTCAAAAAGTATCGAATTCATAGAATAATAAAAAATGTCTGCTTGTTTTTGGTTATTTTAACAGGAAATTCTTAAAATATCATTGTATTAACATTTTCGATTTAAATCCTGTCTATTTAAGAAAATATTTTATCAACGTTGTAGTGTAAACAAATATTTCAAAACTAGTGGATATTAAAATCCATTTTTGGACTTTTACCATCTGAGTTTACATAAAAAACTTTTATCATATACTAATTAGTAAATATTAAGCAAGGTAATATATTATAATTGTATTATTTAATATAATAACAATATAATTATTATTAGTAGTGCCATTAATAATTATAATCACAATAATTATACGTTACGTTAAATTACGTAATTACAATTAGTATTAAAAAAAATTAATTATATGCAATACTCTGTACAAATTAAATAGTATCTAATTATCAAGTACATCGTAAAGGCGTCTGCACATGATCAATAATATTGACGATAATATTGTCAATTCTCTTTGATAATAAAAATATCTGTATTGAATATTGACTGCACATGATCACTAATATTGTCAATACTTTACAATATTGACGATATTATTGATCGCGTGTGGACCCTTTGAGAGCATCAAGACTAAAGCTGAAGTATTATTAGCAGGTTTTAGAATGACGGTGGATAGGACACTTAGAAGGTCAGAAGATTAGGGATTCATCATGCTTCATAAACTATCACAGGATGTTCGTGCATTGCGTTTTTTAAAGAGGATCTCAGGCAGTTCTGAGGGGATTCTGTGGCCTAACTCGACAATACAAGATAAGGAAATGTCTCCTAGACATGCCTTGGAGAATGTCTTACCGGTATACTACGTAACGCTGAAATCTTGGTAACGCCTGGGAAAATCTCCTTGGATCATACTGACATTTTATTTTGCATGACTCTAATAACGTACGTATATACCTACAGTATTCGTAACGTGTTGCCTAATTTGGGATTCCACGCGGTTTTCTATGAATTTTGAGTAGGTTGCTTACACTTTTAATTGGTCCTTGTGTGTACAAAATGATACAAATGCAACTTACACAATTGTTATAACTGAAAAAGTAATCTCTCGTTTGTTTTCATAAATTAACTATTGTAAAAATAATATGTGAAATATGTAAAAATATTGTAAAATAACAATTGTTGATTAATATGAGGTATACGTATATGTGTATGTGGAAAATACTGCCCTAATAAGCAGTTACACTTCGGTCGTTATAAGACTCGAGTTACAAGTTAGAGATTTAAGTATCAAAGGCTTTTGATTTCAATATATAAATAATTTTATTAATTAATTCGTGGGTTTTCTAAGAGAAAAAATCTACTGAAATTAAAGATTTTTAAAATATAAAAATAATTCGTTAAATATACTTGCAGGAAATTAGATCATCCTAAATAAGATACTTTATTCAATAAAAATTTTCCAAAGGAATTCTACGCAGGATTAACACCGCGTTTTCATAATTATTTAATATGTTAAAAAAAGGCTTATTTTATTAACCAATAATAACGTATAGTAACATAGTAATCTAAGTTCATTGGGCAATGCCGAGTAAAAAAAATTGGTAAAAAGAAATTTACATCTTCCATACAAAACTGTATCGATATTACGAAATGCAATAAACATAGCGAATAACTTTCCAAACCTTGGTCGCATTCGGTTGCAAAAATCAATCTGCAAAATTCATAGAAAACGAGAAAATAACGCTCTACATACACTTCCTAAATAGAGCGAAATCTTTCGATGTAAACGATGTATGAAAAACACTTAAAAATTCGATCTGCGACAAAGTACCGAACACACGGTGTTTCCTTCCTTCCTTTTCCATTTTTTGATCTTTTCTCAGATACTATCCGTTTTTCAGGTCCGCTGGATCGAGCAAAGCGAAGAGTCTTCGGAAATACGGGCCGTGTGCTCACTAGTCTGATGAAACCTGAATATTTGATAACGTTGCATTACGTTAACAGCGTCGCTGATCTATTTTAATGGATTGTAAGGTAAATTGAAATATCAGAAACGTGTTGCTCGGAATGTAGAAGCTGGTATTAATAGTAATTTCTGGATCCAATGGCAAAACACTCGCGACCGCATTCGCCGGGACAAAAACAGGCGGAAAAAGGCGGTGAAAAAGGAAAATTTGAATGTCGAGAGAGGAACAAAGCCTTTTTTCGCGCACACCCTTCTTTCCTTTCTTTTGTGCCACAAAAAGACTGTCGCGTGTGTCAACTGTTTACATAAAATTAATCGATATATCGCAACGCAGGGTGAGAAACGTTTCGACTTTTCCACGCACGCGGAACGCATCGCTTTACAAAGCGGGTCACCGACAACCTCTCTGTATAATATACCCGTCAGCTTTTATTTTCGGCAAGCAACAAGCACCGTTTCTGCAAATCCCATTTCGAGCGTCGTTTTTCACGTTGCCTTCACCCGGTTTCATTGCAGGAATTTTTCAGCCAATTGGCTCTTGAGATGCACCCTTTCGTCTTCTGTCTCACCTCTGACACGCGTCCGTCATGTTTCTCGCAGATTCAAGAAAGAAACAAGGAATCGAAGAAGTCGATTTCGTGGTAACAACAGTGGCTGGAATGAAAGTACACCGATTATGGAAAATAATTTTTATTTCGATCAGAATATAGGTCCGATGTAACCACGAATTCAGGTCGAGTTTCAGGCAAGTTTAATTTCATATTCGATCAATGGTATTATTAAATCATTTTAACCTTTTCACTGTTCTTCCAGAGCGACATGGGATCTAATTCGGATCATCCAAACTGTTATCAGTTTGCTTAAACGATGTAATATATACATCTTCATCAAAGCAATGCAAGAATATACGTCTATGTCACAGTCAAAAATCGAAATTAGTCAACACTATCAAGCGAATCATCCTGTCCAACTACGAGACTCTCCCTTTCTGTAAGTCTTCGCGTCACGCTCAAGCTCTATCATCTCCATTCTTCCCCCAATTTCAACGAGAACAGCAACCCAACCAGAAGTTACAAGTCTTTAACCTTTCCAGGAATCATCATCGACTCTGGTGTCAGTAAAGAAGCTTTTGGAATATCTCCAGAATCGCGAGCTTTGATTCTTAAACTACCTCTCTTGTCAACCCCATGCGTCTGGACCCACGTGCGTGAAAATGCGCGCGAACGTGGCGCATTCATAGGATCCCATGGGTTCTGCCGAGGATATTCCTCCTGGTGGTTGCCCGCCGAGTCTTTTTCCCTTCTCCTATCCGGGAGAGAAGGACGAGCTTGCGCCTTGAGCTGGTGCTGTCGGTCGAGAAAGAGAAGAAAGAGGGAAGAGAGAGAGACGTCGAACGAGGAACACACGGACATCGTATCCTGAGGCTCGATTCTAGAGTCTGTAAGTCAAAGTCACGATTGAAAGGGCGCTGCGTGAGCGTCGGCATCAGAAGATCGGCGTAAGGAGTCAGAGCCTAGTCCAGGACATTGTCTATTCGTAGAGTCGGCTGCAGAGTCTACGAGTCGGAGTCACAGCTGAGAGAGTCATGCGAGAACGTCGGTATAGGGTGGTTGAAGGAGCGAAAAGGATGATCATCGGGAAGAAGTGGTAGAGGAGAGGGCAAAGGAGTATGAAAAGGGGTGAAAGGTGGGGGTTGTAGAATAGGCGAGGTTTTTCGGCAGGCGCGTTCGGTGGCTGGCGAAACGGGGGTGTAAGGAGAGCGCCAGGGAGAAGACAGGAGAGGCAGGAGAGGCAGGAGAGCCGGGAGAGACGGGAATCGGAGGGGCGGGTGGTTCGCTCGGTGGGAG